GAGAAAGTTATGTTGTGAAATAGCAGAGACAATGCTCTTTGCTCCTTTTCGCTGTGCAGCCCCCATTGTGGTCGCTGTTCAACTGCTGCTTGGAGTGATTCCAGGCACCAAGCTGGGGGGAAATTTCAAGGCAAAAACAAACAAACAAACAGCTATAGTTTTGTGAATTTTCAGCCAATTCTTAGCTCTTTTATTTTTTAATACTTGCCAGCTTCACTCTAGTGCATTCTGCATTGGGCTGAATTCTCTCCAAGATCCTGGACAACTTCCTGGGTTTAATGGAATTGTGATTAGACTTCTGGTTTAATTGCACCTGGAAGAACTGTGGAGGTGCTCAACTGAGTCTGCATGCTTACCAAGAGACAGGTATGTTCCCTGAAGACCTATGGAAAGCCTGTGGGGCTCCAGCTGCCTGATTCTATACTTGGTTCAAGCCAAGGAGCTGAAATCTGGGTTTGGCAATGTTCACAGGTTGTGCTACACTTCAAGGGTCCCTGTCTTATAAGCCAAAGGGCTGCAACTGGGGAAATGTAATTGGGGGTGGTGGGGAGGAAAGAAGGATCTGAACAGTGACATCCCTAGGAAATTTTTACCTCTCCCAGGCTGTATCTCAATTCCTTGGGAGAAGAATTAGGTCTGCATGCTGCTTGGAGGACTCAACAGGGAAATTACACACTTCATACACAGTACAGTGAGCTATGGGTTTCCTCCATCCACCCTGGGTGTGCAATATTGCAAATGTGTACATCTACTCCATCCACAAACAGAGCATCAAGGCACCTCATATATGTGTGGGCATTTTCACAGGTAACCGAGTTGTGTTTGCTTCCTAGGTGGAAATTGTGATTCTTCAGAAAATGTGGGTATCAAAATTGACCTGCAGTTGAGAAGATTCTCTCCCTTTGTGGCCTCTCTGATGCAAGGGGAAAAAAAGCATTTTGCACACTCTGTGCATAGGTAGGATTTCTCTGCAGTGTGACCCTCCTAAAGGCTCTTAATATGGGACTGCTGGGAAAGACCCCCCCCCCCCCCCGTTTGTTGGGTCTCTCTCCAGTGTGAATTTTCTGATATTCTGACCAAGGCAAGGGGTAAGCACAACATTTTCCCCCACTGGAACACACACTTAATGATGTCTCTTTTGTCTGGACATTCCAATGTAGAATGGTCAGCAAATATTTCTCAGACTCTCAGCATTCACCTTTCTTCTCTTCAGTGTGAATTCCCTGATGAACCACAAGGCATGCCTGTTGAGCAACACATTTCCCACACTCAGTACATTTGTGTCAATCCAGTTGGATTTTCTTCAGAACTAAACAGTTTGGCCTGATAGAAATACTGTTCCTGCATTCCAGTCCTCTCAAGAGTCAGAAATATTTCTTAGAACACGTAAGAAGGACTTTATTTCCAAAGTATTTTATTTCATAATTTGAATAAAAAATAAGGACCAAAATCAAGAACCCTCATAGTTTTTTACCCTTAACTGCCCTTTGGTGTTCAGGTCAGGTCTCAGGATAATGATATAGCATTTGGGGATGAAAATGCAGCCCAGTAAGCCCAGGCTGGAGGCCAGGCTGGAGAAGATCTGCACAGCCACCATGTATTTCCCTTTGGTGCTCAGGTAGGTGGGGACAAAGGAGACCCAAACGCTGCAGAAAACCAGCATGCTGAAGGTGATCAACTTGGCTTCATTGAAGTTCCCTGGAAGTTTGCGGGCCATGAAAGCCACCAAGAAGCAGATGGCAGCCAGAAAGCCCATGTAGCCAAGGGCAGAGGAGAACATGGTGATTGAGCCTTCATTACATTGCAACAGGATGTGTCCTGGTTGGGAACGTAGGTCAGAATCTGGGAATGGGGGAGAGATTCCCAGCCATATGATGCAGATGCCCACCTGAATCCCAGAACAGGACAAGACAATGGAGTTGGCCAGAGTCTTCCTCAGCCATTTCCTCATCCTGCTACCTGGCCTTGTGGCCAGAAATACTATCACCACCATGACAGTCTTGGCCAGCAAAGAAGATACGGCAACTGAAAAAACAACACTAAAGGTGGTTTGTCGAAGAAGGCAGGTCACTTTCTTGGGGTGACCAATGAATAGAAGGGAAGTCAAGAAGGAAAGCAGGAGAGAGACCAAGAGAATGTAGGTGATATCCCGGTTGTTGGCTTTGACTATGGGAGTTTCTCGGTGTTTAATGAAGATCCACAGAACAAAGGCAGTGGTAAGAGACAAAAGAGAGGCAGTGAGAGCCAGAATAAGACCCAACATTTCTTGATAAGATAGGAAGCTTACAACTTTGGGGACACATTGATCTCGCTTCTTATTGGAATGCTGGTCATCTGGACACTTTTTGCAGTGAGCTTCATCTGAGAAACATAAGTAATTGCTGTGTAAGTAGTAAATTCAGTGGTGTTTAACACATAATAACCTATTGACCAAAAGAGGGCAGTGGGGTATAGATAGAGTTATTAATTATTTATCCTAGGTTCCCTCTTTGTCCCACTGCCAATTCTGTGCCTAAAAGATTTCTAGGTTTTGCCTATCCCTATATTATATTTCCTGTAAATAAATTTCCTTTGTATTATGCTTATAGAATGTACTTCAGTAATCACTGGAAAGCCCAGATTCCTGATCTCAGGAACACATATATACATCTCCAACTCAGTTATGAGGCATTTTGAGGGAGAAATAGATTGATAGGTCATAAGCAGATTAAGCCCCACAACAGGTGGTAGCATTTTACCGACTTGATTGGACTTGGGAGCTAAGTAGGATCAGGCCTGGTTTGGACTTGGATGGATCTCTTTCTTTGCTCTTGAGCCACTTACTTTCCTGGGTGGAGATTGTTCCCTCCATGCATGGAGAACAGTCATAGCAGCAAACTGGTGCTCCCTCTCTCATGAGTTTGGTGTATCCTGGGAGACAACTTTCAGTACACCTAGAAAAAGGGGCCTTCTAAACATAAAATTGAGGAAATATACAAATGACGGGATTACTTATGAAAATGGAAATGAGTCCCAGGCTGGGTTCGTGAACTAGGCTAAACCATGGTTTGTTTTGGACATGGTATTTTGAATATGACATACATGTGGTTTACACACAGTGCAATGTCCTGAAACACCTTTATATACCATAGTGTTAGTCTCCCAGAGAGCATAAATTGAAACCAAAGAACAGAATGGCTTGAAGTAAGAGATACCTCAGCCATTGAGGTGCACTTATCACCAGGGATTCTTGGCTTCTTTCTGGGCTCAGAATTTGGGATGGAGGAAAAAAAAAAGATGCCCTCAACTTTGTTTTTAACCATAACCATGTTTGAAATTCATCCACTAAGTTTAACCTTGTTTGCTCAAAACAGTAAATCATCTATACTTGCCAAATGTTCTACTTCTATATGCCAGTTGTGCCAGCATGAAGTGTATACTTTTAATGTCTCTTTCAAAATATAGTGAAAATACCGTATTCTTCCGACTATAAGATGATGCTTTTTTCTAAAATCCTTACCCTAGAAATTGAAGGGCATCTTATTCAAGGAAGTCAGCCGAGGAG